CCCTCAATCACAGCAGTGATAAACAATTCAATACAAAATAAGACTTTAGAAGACACTCTTCAAAGTCACAATACTTGATTTTGCTTAACAGTTTCAATCAAGGACAATACACTCTTGCTTAAAAGCTTTGAGTGAATAATTAACACTGTACAAATAACAGCCTAAACATGTCTACCACGATGCATCCAAAGATACAAAGGGTGACTTGCAAGGTCACACACAAAAGACTCTCAAAGCCCTAAAACCTTATTTTACATTCAAGTTTTTCTTGTTGTGAGTGCTTTATTTCCCTTGCTTCTGCACCTCCTTAAAATAGTATTGCAGACTGGGCTTGGGCTGGTCAAAGATAACAGTTGGAAGAGAAGATAGTAGCAAAAATTAGGTTTAACCAAGTTAAACCAATCTTCACTATTCAAGGTGCTAGAAAATAGGTTATAGGCGTTTCATGTTATGCCCAACCCTGACTAGAATCTCGCCTGAGATAACTAAGGAGCCATAATAGGTTTCCTGAAATCTAGCCTGAGATATATCAGGTAAAATACCAGAAAACTAAAACACGTGCGTTGATGTCATACGCTTGATGTCATAACATCCAGCATGACATCCAACATACTTGACTCTAGCTAACCAAACTTACCATGCCGAACACTCCTGCATAATCTTCTTCATAACATTAGAAACAAGTATATTATAGTTTCCTAAAAAGTCTCAAAGATCCTTTTTATGAACACCAATTAAATCTGCACTTTATTCCTAATAAATCTCTTTGGCCTGCACATATTGATGAGGTATATCCAACAGATTCTCATCAAACCAAAACACTTCTATCAAGTAATATAAAACAACAACTCCTGTTGTACTAGACAATGATGTCATGACATTGGTAATGACATCCTGATTAAAACACATGACAGCAGTACTGTCATCAGCTCCTGCTGTACCAGACAGCGATGTCATGACATTGGTAATGACATCCTAATTAAAACACATAACAAAAGTACTGTCATCAGCTCTTGCTGTAACAGACAACGATGTCATGACATTGGTAATAACATCCTGATTAAAACACATGACAGCAGTACTGTCATAACAATAGATGTGGATGTTATGACATCTTACTTAACATTAGTGCAAAATCATGTTTTACCAAAATTTAGCCAATCATATAATCATGGAACTAACAACATCAAATAACTCCCTTTTGAATTGTGAGGTGGTAACATGAGTGTGACAACTTTGTTGTGTTCCCTTTTTTTTTACTCACATTGGATCATGAATTGGTTCCTTAGGTTTTGTGACATGAGTTGTTTGGTTATGAGTTATTTCTAGCTTGAGATATTAATGGGGCTGTTTTTGGATCAACTTGAAAATGTCTTGAAATTGCCTATGGATAAGCACAAATGGTCTTGATTTTGAAATGTTCCAATATTGCATTAAACCTTAATTGTTTTTCTTGGATGTTTGTAGGCTCATGTGAAGATTTAATGTGGAGCATGGAGACTTGATGAGGCATAATGTGGAACGTGTAGACTTAATGAGGCATGAAGGGTACCATAGCATGAAGTTGATTAGAAACTTGAATTAAGATTAGAAATAACTTAATTTTCTAAGCATTTCTTAGAGTTAGAAACTTTGTAACAAATGTGACATTCTTGCAATGTCATGAAATTTCCCTTTGTAATATTCTTGAATCTAATCTTGAATTCATGAATCTTGAATTTGGAATGATGGATCTCCCTTATGCCATTGAATTTGAAATGGATGAAGTCTTAAATTATGAACTTGTGATCTTGACTCATGTCTTGCAAATTTGAATTCCACTTGAATATAGAATTTGAAACAAAGTTGGATGAAGAAATCTTGAATTAGGCCTTGCAAATCATGTTCATTAGGAACATTGACCTTGAATAACTCAATATTTTTCAACTAACTTCTCCTTAAAGAAATCTACATGAGTAGACTTTCCAACTTGAATCAAACCTTAGATGATGAACCTTTCTTCAATGTAGCCCATGATAGGTAACTTCTCTTATTTAAAACAAACAACAATAAACCGACTCATCCCTTACCTTGTAAACCCACATGCTCGATATGCACTAGCACGATGTATGATATGATGAATGTAGGATATGAACGACTAAAGGTGAAAATGAGGGTGTGACACTTTCTATTTGTTACTCACGATGTTTTGCCGCGTATCTTTATCTGTTGATTACATGATGTTTTTCCATGTATTTCAGTTGACTTTTCACTGTTTGATTACCATGATATTTTTCCATGTGTATTCTGTGCTATTTTTGTCTGTCTGGTCATACATGATGTTTTTCCATGTACTGTGTTTGTGACTTGTCTGCTTGCTGATTACATGATGTTTTTCTTTCTGCTGCTTTATATTCCTTGTTGACCTAATCCAAGTGAAGGGACTGCATGTTGACTTATTGTCATTGTGTATGTCCCTCGTCTGTTCTTTACTTGTCTTTGCTGTTCTTGGTTCTTAGAACCTGGCAACCCGTGGTTCCACGAACTACGGACGCTCTAATTTCTCATTTATCGATGAGAATACGTAGGCATAAGATGCGATGTCTTAGCGAGTTCACTAACATATAACTTCCTGCTAACATTTGCAACTTAGGATTGGAGTCGTTGTGCTCCAGGTAGTCGTCCCGCCGTGGACATTCCCCTTGTTTACCTTTGCCATAGGACTTGGAGTCGTCGTGCTCTATTTAGTCATCCCACCGTGGACATTCCCTTCCTTGCTAACTTAACCTTATTCTAGAGTCTCCGCACTCTATGCAGGTGTCTCACCGTAAATATTTACTTTTTCCTTTGGAACCTTGACTACAGTCAAGAGTTCCTCACCCTTATTGAGGGGAATTATGGTTGCTCTGATTCCATTCCCGTCAGGATACGTAGGCATGAGATGTGATGTCTTGACGAACATGCTTTGTATATATTTTAGACTTTTACCTTAACATATTTTCCTTTAGCAAGCAAACTTTAGCATAACACAAATACTAACAAGAAGTTCTTGTAGAGTACTACAGATAGTTAGGATGCTAACACCTTCCCTAGGTATAACCAACCCCTGAACCTTAGATCTCTTAGCTGTGTTGTTACATAACATACTTAGGGTTTTCTTCGATCTTTATCCTTTCCTTTGGATAAATCAAAACTCGGTGGTGAACTTCATGATTTGTGATTCAAGTTAATTCAATAGTTTGATATCCAATTTTTACCGCAACACAAACCTTAAGTTGACTTTACCTTTATCAGTTTTGTTGGACCTAACACAAAACTAATAATGGCACCACTAAGAGCTGCAGATGGTATTATAACTTGAGGTTGAGGCGCACCATTTTGCATACCTCCCTAGATTAGTGGAAAGAAGCAAAAGTAAAACGCATTAAGCAAAACATGTTCATCAATGTCCAGTACACAGATCTCAACAGTGAACCAAATATACAGAAGTGAAGATTATTCCATTTAAATAAAATAAAATAAAATAAATAAGAAAGAACCTTTAAATCACAAAAATATAGCAACATGTCAAATAAATAAATAGAAATCTCACAAAGGATGAAATAGTAGAGGGATTTTACCTTAATGATTATTAGTAGTAGGAAAGGAACCCAAACAACCATTAATACTAAAATCCTTTTCCACTTAAGGTTAGAACAAAATCCTTTTCTGATTTGTACATTTCTCTGTTGAAGACAAAACAGAGAAATATTAGAAAAATCAAAACCCTAAAATCAAAAATCAGAAAAAATGTACAATGTTGAAGCTATGTTAAAAGTTAAAACAGAAAACCAGAAACCAGAAAAACTATAAACCAGAAATTTAGAAAAACTATTCTTTCGTTGTTTCTTTCGCGATCCATAATCATAAACCGTCGAAAACCACTTCAAACACTCACCACTATCTAACAAATTCCACCATCGTGTAACCATTTCTCCTAAGCCACTTATTTCATCGAAACACTACAAAAATCAAAGAACACGACAACAAATTTGTTTTTAACAAAATCTGTTATGAATACACGAAGAAGAAGACATGAAAAAAAGAACAATAGAAGAGGGAAAAAACATACCTTTTACGGTCAAGATGGTCGTGTAACACTAATGAGAATGATGAACCCGCTAGAGAGAAAATGGAAGAACTGTGGAAAGAGAAAGAAAGAGAAACCGAGAAAGAGAGAGGAAGAAAATTTGAAAGAGGGAGAAGGTGAGGGAAAGAGGAAAGACAAGAGTTTTCAAAAAAACTTCTGCCACTTGTCAAAATTAGAACATGCTATTGGTCAATATTTTTGTATTTAGTAAATTGCCAAAAAGGACATGCTTTAGTCTTAAGTAAAAATCAATAAAAGGGTAAATTAGGGAGTGTATAAGCATCTTCTATTCTTAAGTAGGAATTTAATGATTACTATTTTTTCAATTGTATATTTTAATTATTAGTCGTTACACTATTTTTAATTTAATAAAAATGTAATAATTTATTTTAATATTATTAAAAATGTAATAATTGTTGTGACCTATTCACCCTATCCCAAGTACTAGCGTCTAGACGGACACGTTTTTTTATTGCATGCATATAAATATAAATGATATATTTTTATTTAATATTAATTTTACATAAAAATTATGTGGAAAGTTATTAGTAGGGAGTTATATGAAAGATGATAGTAGTAGTTCAATGGAAGTTATTATATAAGTTATATATTTTAAAATAAAGATACATTTGATATAAAAAAATGCTACACCAAAAATATATATCTCTCTCTCTCTCTCTCTATATATATATATATATATATATATATATATATATATATATATATATATATATATATATATATATATATATATAGATCAATCATTTGTGACTTTGTTCCTACCGTATATATATCCACCTAATGAATTGTATATTCACAATTCACAAAACTTCTTTTTCTTTTCATTCTTTCCATTCATATTCTGCCAAAAATCTCAGTGAAAAGGGAGAAAATGGTTCTTTCTCAAAAGCTTCACGAAGCGTTCAAAGGCACTGTAGAGAGAATCACAGGTCCAAGAACCGTTTCCGCCTTCAAAGAAAAAGGGGTTCTTAGCGTCTCCGAATTCATCATCGCCGGTGATAATCTCGTTGCTAAATGCCCTACTTGGTCATGGTAATTTCCGATTTCCCCTTTTCACAATTAGGGTTCATCGTTCTTTTCTTGTAATTGGTTTTTTATTTTATTTTTATTTTTTAATAATTTAAAAATTCTAATTGTGTATTTGGTATTTTCATCATATATTTTAGCGAATATAGAAATTGTATTACTCAAACTGTTTTTATTCCTGCGGTAATGTTTTCCACTTTGATTGATAGGGAATCGGGTGAGCCAAGCAAGAGGAAGCCATATTTACCATCTGAGAAACAATTCTTGATTACTAGAAATGGTAAGATTATGGATTTGAGATGCATTCACCTTCTGGGAGATTGCATTCACCTTCTGGAGCTATATTTACAAATAGATTGTTCTTTGTGATAATTGTACTAGGAGATTGCATTCACCTTCTGGAGCTATGCTTAAATACTGGCACCTCTGAAAATAGGAGTGTTATTACTGTCAATTTATTCATTTTTTTTTCAAATTATTACCTGTGTGTCGACAATACATGTTAGTGCCGGCGTTGTGTCTGGTGTGGTGTCGGCGATTGTGTCCCCATGCTTTATAGCTTAAATGAGGAAATGACACACCCCTTTACCTTTGTTACATGATAATTGGGAAAAACTTGAAACCCACAGTAGTTATAGCCTTTGGCATTTCAATGGTTCCACAGAGTATATCCATAAGTTTATGTCCTTTTTGATGCACAATGGTTCGGTAGGTTGCTTAGATAGAAACTTGAGGCTCGTCGCCCTTCCTCAAAAGTGTGCTTTATTGGGGACTTAACTGCAGTCCTCCCATACAAACTGAACTACACCTGATGTAAAAGTGTGTTTGTAATTGAGGTGATGTTAAATGACTTTTACAAAATAGAGAGGGCTTATGTGTTATGTAAGCATACCTCAAGGGAGGTTAGGTGTATGCAATTTCCCTGATTTGTATTTGTGCCTTTGTTATCGCGTTTTGAGACTTTTCCTATTTAACGACTGATTTTTGAAATTGTTTTGTACAAACAGTCCCTTGTCTGCGCAGAGCTGCATCTATTGAAGAAGAATATGAAGCTGCCGGAGGGGAGGTTCTACTTGATGATGAAGATAATGATGGATGGCTAGCAACTCATGGAAAACCTAAAGGTGTTTATTCAATTAACGGGAGACATGCATATAACATATTGTGCTGCAAGTCTGCAACTTTAATCCTTTGATCTATACTCTTGTAATTTGAATTTTCAGAAATTAAATCTGATGAAGATGAGAATTTACCGTCCATGGAAAGTCTAGAAATCAGCGAAAAGAGTTCTATTAAGCCAGTTTCTTCCTTCAAGGGAGGTGAGGATGATGAAGATATTCCTGATATGGCAGAGTTTACAGAATATGACAACATTATTGAGACTGATCCGGTAAGTTGGTAGTACTATACATATTAAGAAGCACAGTCGCTGATTCCTAACGGTAATACATCAATTTATCTACTCAAATAAAGGAGGAATAGAGATATGTATATTCTTCTATATGTAGATGTGTTGTCTTTGTATGTTTTGAGTAATAGACACCATTTAGTATTATCAACCCCGTGAATTGAAGTCGCTGCTGCATATTAGTGTCATTTGAGATGCATAGCATCACTTTATTGGAATAAATTTCATGTGTATGATCAAGGGAAAACCCTACTTTCTGACCTTTTTCCAGTTGTTTATTACTATATGTTATGCTTTTTTCCCTTCCCTCTTCCTTTTAGAAGGATATATATTAGGGATAAAATCAATTGACACCAGAGTGTCAAATTTCATGTTATGACACTTTTGATAATTTTTTTTATATCATATTCATATTACAAAATCTAGGGTTGGATTGAAAACTATTGTCACATACATAGATCATATCTACAAAATTCGACATACTGAAATCATTTGATATATTATTGAGATACAACAAAATTAAATTGGTAAAAATTTATAAGACTCTAATTTTGATGTATCTCATTTACATATTGAATGATTTCAGATTAATGCCAAATTTTACATTCATGTGCGTTATAATAACTCTAGAGCTTTCTATTGCCTGAAATCATTTCTTCAAATTTAGTTGCCATGTGATGTCAAGTACCCGTAATAACTGATTATGTGAACATGCTTCTGATTTGTTTGCCAACTTAGCAATTTTGAACTTGAGACTCATGTATCTTGATTTTGTATCACATGTTAACCCTGTTTATTTTCAACTCCTTATTCACAGACTCACTTATAACTTTGATGCTCAACATTTCATTTGAATTTGAACCCTGATTTAATTAGCATTTCAATTCATGTAGGATTTTTAGATCATACTTTTAGATTGCTGCTTTTTGTTTGACACTAATTTGAGTAATGTGATTCATATCATTTATTTTCCTTTTGCTTATTGGCGGCCACTCTTCAGTCCACATATCTAGTAGCTCATGAACCTGATGATGATAATATTCTGCGTACCCGCACCTATGACATAAGCATCTCGTAAGTTGAACTTCTGCATATATATTTTAATCACAAACCTACTTCATTTCATAAACAATTATTTCTTTGGCAATGAATTTAAAAGGCGGACCTTGCTTTTTATGCAGGTATGATAAGTATTATCAAACACCTCGTGTGTGGCTTACTGGATATGATGAGGTTTGTTTTATTCACTTGAGCCTTGTAAAACATAATCAATCACTTTGATTCGGTTGTATGACAATGGAAAAGCTACTAGAACTATAATTAGCATTATGAGTTTAAACTAATTAACATCACCCGATGCATTATCCTATTTTGATGAATAATGATGACATCATTTTCATTGTTACCCTGCCATTTATGAAAAGCACATGGATTGTGAAAATAAAGTATTGTGACATTAGTGTCAGAACATGAAACTTGTGAATTTTTCAGGGCTAAATGCTTTTAAGATTTAGGTTGAATGGTTGCAAGAAACATAAATCCTTTTGGTATTTGAAACTGTATACCTTGGAAAGCTAGTGTTTGGTTCAATGATTTCATCTCTTGTCTTATGGCAGTCAAGAATACTATTGCAACCAGAACTTGTTCTTGAAGATGTCAGCCAAGACCATGCACGCAAAACGGTGAGATATGGCGCATGAAGTGATTATCAACACACACTTATAAAATTTGCTACAATTTATGATACATCGGTGTTATGTTCTAACTTAAAGTGGTACATTAAAATGTTGCAGGTAACAATTGAGGACCACCCTCACTTGCCTGGAAAACATGCATCTATTCATCCTTGTCGACATGGAGCAGTGATGAAGAAAATCATTGATGTGTTGATGTCACGCGGAGTTGAGCCTGAAGTTGACAAGTAAACCCTTTGTTTCTAATATCCTATTACTCTCATTTCGGATATACAAGTGATCCATTTAATGTTAACTGATATTTTCTCTTATGAGGTGTTCCCAATAACTGCCATATAATTGCATAACCTTATTTCTGTAGGTATCTGTTTTTATTCTTGAAGTTTATGGCTTCTGTAATTCCAACAATTGAGTATGATTACACCATGGACTTTGATCTCGGTAGCTCTAGCAATTGACTAAGGTAAATCGGATTACTATTTATATTTTGTTGTCTTTTGAATTATGTATTCCTTCCTACTATTGGATGCTTGCGTATCATTAATTGGTAGTATTATATTTACACCCCTAAACCTCACTCCTTTTAAGCCTTAGCCCAACTAGTTCAAGTCACTTGAGCAATCTCTCACCTCTGGACTAAGAAGTTTGGACATCTCTAAAAATAGGTGTGTTGCGGTGACCAACACGAGTCGGTGTCTGACACTTGTATGACATTTATATGACACATGTTGTGTTATATGTTGAAAAAGTCAAACAAGTATCTTAAAAAAATAGGTTTTTTCTATACAACAATCTTAATCAGTGTTTGACACCCGAATGACACTCCCGAATGACACTCCTATCACACAGATACTTGTATGACATTCATATCACACGGGATGGACAATTCAGACAATTTTTTAAAAAAGAAAATTGTTTTTCACATAATTGGTGTGAAGAAGAGTATCCTTGTTGTGTTCCGGTGTCAGTCGGATTGCACCAGTCGGATTGCGTGCTTCATTGCCTCTAGCATATTATTAACTTAATAGTTATTTACTCCCTCCGTCTCAAAATTAAAATCCTTTAAGGTTGTTACACACAGATTAAAAAAAATAATGATTGAGTAAATAAAGATGACAACTTTACATTTATTATATTTACCTTGAAAAGAGGAAATTTTTACACTAATAATCATGTTTTTTATAATATTTTTCAATCTTTCCACATTTCCAACAAAATTTCTAAACTAAGTTTAAAAAAAAAAATATTTTCATTAAATGATGCACCATTTGAAATGGATACTCCTTTGAAACTCAAAGCAGGGTACCAAATGCATTGGAGTTCCCTTTATAATTTAAGAGGTTATTTCAATATATTTGGCCACCCACTTTGGATTTTAAAGGGAGAGCTATTTCGAATGGCGTCTCCCTTGCCTGAAAACTTTTTTGTTTTAAACTACCCAGTTTGAAAATTTTATTAGAAAGATGGATAGATTGAAAAATATTATAGGAAAACATGGTTATAGGTCTAGAATTTTTTTTAGAAGAGTGTAAATAATATTTATTATATTTATTAGGGATAAAGTTGGTTTAAGTTAATTAATTTTATATTAAAAAAAGTAAAGAGACTCGTATTTTGAGACAATATATATATATATATATATATATATATATATATTTATTAGGGATAAAGTTGGTTTAAGTTAATTAATTTTATATTAAAAAAAGTAAAGAGACTCGTATTTTGAGACAATATATATATATATATATATATATATATATATATATATATATATATATATATATATATATATATATATATATATATATATATATATATATATATATATATATATATATATATATATATATATATATATATATATATATATATATATATATATATATATATATATATATATATATATATATATATATATATATATATATATATATATATATATATATATATATATATATATATATATATATTTTTTTTTTTTTTTTTTTTTGTCTAGAAAGACATTTGCTTTGAGACTTTTTTTTTCCCTAGAAAAACACTTATAATTTTTGTTAATTCAATTATGCTCACTATGGTACGAGTATGGGAATTCACGATGCATCTTCTCTTGTTACCACTATGAGGTGAAATGAACTTGTGATGTTATGATTCTATTGATGATTTATAACATTTTTGTTTTTCTTTACAGAAGGTAGCTAGCTGCACGATCAAGTATAACACGAGCATAATCTCCTTGCCAAATCTTTCTTTGTTTTCGCGCACATTAGTTTGGTCTTTTGAATAGAAAAACTCTAGAATTTGGACAAATTTTATTGTGATATGTAAATATTTCACATACCACATTATTAAGACTATGTTGCTCCATGTAATATAAATTTATTGGTTTCCTAGATTGTTTTAAATTCTAGAATAGGGACACTTAAAAATATGTTCAATATCTTAGAATATTAGCTTATATATATTTGTTCATTCAATGGCTGTTAATTAGTCTTATTTTGTATATATATCCTTCACCTCATGTACACAAAATTTCAATCAATGTAACAGTATTTTTCATCTATTCCTCTTCTCTGCACTTTCACTGCATTCTATTATTTTTCTGTTGCTTTCATCTACATCAATGACATACATCACCATTGTTGATATGGTATCAGAGTTCATCAAGCTCTGGTAGCCATTCTCTTCTTCTTCTGCAGCATCGATTGAAGGTTATCCAAATTCTTTCTCTCCTTCGTGTATATCGATTTTTGGATCCTTCTGTTCATCTTGTTTCTTTTCAATCGCGATTCTTTGCGTTCTTTCTTCTGCTTCAATGGCCTACCAGAGTTACACAGATTTCTCCACCAATTCAGCTAATCCCTATTATTTGCATCCAAACGAAAACCCAGCGCTTGTGCTCGTGTCTCCTCCTTTTGACGTCAACAACTACCACATTTGGGCGCATTCGATGCAGATTGCACTAATATCAAAGAACAAGGACAAGTTCATTGATGGAACCCTTCCTAAACCACCGGTATCCGATCCCTTTTATGCACCATGGATTCGGTGTAATACTATGGTTCATGCTTGGATTCAACGTTCAATTTCTGAGTCAATTGCGAAGTCAGTGCTATGGATCGATAACGCAGCTGGTGTTTAGAGAAACTTGCAAATTAGGCTCTCTCATGGAGATATTTTTCGCATTTCAAACATTCAAGAGGAATTGTACAAATTTCGTCAAGGTACACTCGATGTCTCCAATTACTTTACTCAGATGAAAGTCTTGTGGGATGAACTTGAGAATTATCGTCCCATTCCTGTTTGTACCTGTGCTACCCATGCTCCTGTGATGCTATCGCGTATGTTCAGCGATATAGGGAACAAAACTATGTGTTACGTTTCTTGAAGGGGTTGAATGACAAATTCACGCATTCAAAATCTCAGATTATGATGATGAATCCCCTTCCAAACATTGATATGGCTTTCTCTCTTGTTATCCAACAAGAAAGAGAAATGAATAGTTCTGTTTCCAATCTGGTTTCTCCTGCTAGCATTGCTGAAGAGGTTACAACCTTGAATGTTCAAGCTCAGAGTAATTCCAATGGTAAATTTGGCTATATCAATTCTTTCAAAGGGAAATCCCACGGCAATTATGGTCCTAAAGGTCATGCTAGGGTATGTACACATTGTGGTAGGACCAACCATACTATTGAGACTTGTTTTCTCAAGCATGGATTCCCACCCGGTTACAAAGGCAAAGGTAAAGTTACAGGTACCACTGCTAATTCTCAGCCAGCTGCTATGGCCAATAATGCCTCTGAGAATCAATCCACAGGCTCCTCTACTGCACCCTCGTTTGGTCTTACTCAAGAGCAGTACACTAACATCTTGGCATTACTACAACAGTCACATCTTAATTCCCAAGCCAACTCCATATCCACCTCTCCTTTTGCCTTAAACTCTCACTCCAATGTCAATGGTAAGACTTCTAATATTTGGATCCTTGATACTTGAGCCACTGACCATATTAGCTTTGATCTCTCCTTATTTCAGGACCATAAAAATATAGTTCCTATTCCCGTTAATCTGCCTAATGGTTCTCAAGTAGTTGCTTCAATAGCTGGCACTGTTGTCATTTCTCCTTTCTTGACTTTACACCATGTCTTGTACATTCCAAGTTTTCATGTTAATCTTGTCTCTATTGCTAAGCTTGTTGATAGCAAAAATTGTTTTGTTCAATTCCATGCTAATGCCTGTCACATAATGCAGAACCATTCCAAGGCAATGATTAGTATAACTAATGTGCAAAGGGGACTCTATACTCTTGAGACCACAAGCCACCACTCCTTTATTCCTTATGTTAATACTACTTCTTGTAATACTTGGCATTTAAGACTTGGTCATGTACCTCATTTAAGTTTACAAGAAATTTCAAAGTTGTTTCCCTTTATTACATGTAATACTAAACTTGATCCATGTGTCTCTTGTCACTTTGCTAAGCAAAGAAAGCTTCCCTTTCCCAATAGTACTTCTAATTCTTATGCTCCTTTTAATATTCTACATGCTGACATATGGGGGCCCTTCTCTACTATATCCACCTTGGGGCATAAGTATTTTTTGACCTTAGTTGATGATTTCACTAGGTATACTTGGGTCATTTTTCTCAAAACTAAAGACCAAACTAAGGCTAGTCTTATTCAGTTTGTAGCTTATATTGAAAATCAGTTCAAAACTTCCCTTAAGTGCCTTAGGTCTGATAATGGTACAAAGTTTCTTGCTCTCAATGATTTTTTGTTGTCTAAAGGAATCATCCATAAAAAATCATGTGTTGAAACACCCCAACAAAATGGGGTGGTTGAGAGAAAACACCAACATATATTAAATGTTGCTAGATCACTCTACTTCCATTCTAATGTTCCTTTGAATCTATGGAATTTTTGTGTGCAACATGCCATTCTTCTTATCAACAGGCTGCAACTCTTCTCTTAAAATCTAAATCACCTTATGAGCTTTTGTACAACCAACCTCCCTCCCTTATTCACATAAAAGTATTTGGTTGTTTATGTTTTGCCTCCACTTTACAAGCACATAGGACAAAATTTGATCCTAGAGCTCACAAGGCTATTTTTCTTGGCTTTAGAGATGGTACCAAAGGGTACATTGTTTATAATCTCCAAAGTCATGCTATATCTGTTTCAAGGAATGTCATTTTTTATGAATATATATTCCCTCTTAAATTGCCTTATGTACCATCTACTCCTTCCTATCACAATTCTCCATTATCCATAGACTTTCTTGGCATGCCCTCACCATCTATTTCTATTGAACACACTAGTACCGCTGATTTGACTCCTCCTTCTTCTCTAGACACATCACCTAACAACAACCCTACACATCTGTCACCCCTTGATACTTTTCCTACATCTTTATCCTCCAGTCCATCTGCTGAGTCAATTACTCCTAGCTCATCTTCCAATGG